TATCTTTTCTGCGTGAATGTGTTGTAAAAGTGAAGGTCAAACCACGCTATTTTCTCTGCGTGAATGTGTTGTAAAAGTGAAGGTCAAATCACGCTGTCTTCTCTGCGTGAATGTGTTGTAAAAGTGAAGGTCAAACCACGCTGTCTTCTCTGCGTGAATGTGTTATAAAAGTGAAGGTCAAACCACGCTATCTTCTCTGCGTTATGTTCTCTGCGTGAATGTGTTATAAAAGTGAAGGTCAAACAACGCTATCTTCTCTGCTGTTATTGTGTAAATACTTTTCATCTTGTGTCATCAGGTGATCAGTAATTAGCGTCTAACACTAGAAACGTGTAACTAATTAATATTTAGACGTAGGTGTTAGTGTAGTTTGTTTTAGACCAAAACCACATTGGGCTATATTCTGTGTCCACCGCGAACCCCGGATTTTGGTATTGTATAACTTGGGTTTTCTTGCTGTGGCTCCATTTACTTCCCAGATGAACTTGAGCGTGTTGTGTCGTAGATTTCCCGCTATTAAAACCGATTGCCACATCCTTACTATAAGTCGGTGATGGTGTAAAACATGTGTGACCCTTAAACTCCCTCAAGGGCAGCAAGATCCGCTTTTTCAGTCACGAGACAGAATTGGCACATTTGAATGAAAACGAAGCTATATATATATATATATGTGAAACGTATTTAAAAATGCAGGAAGAGCCCCTGACTGACCACTAGATGACCATCACAGGTGTGAGCACATCACAAAGAGTACTTTAATGTTGTATGTTATAGTCATTCATTACCAGTACACTGTTTCATTAATTCCAGGTTTTCCCCTGTTCTTTATCATTTCCTGGTCAATACCTATGTCTCTCTTCCTGGAGACCCCATGTTGGAGAGGATACGGGAAAACGACTTATATATGGGTTGTTACTGGACCCATGATAACGGCTCTCCTGGTGAGTTGTCATGTTTTATTCTTCCTTCTAGACCCATGATAACGGTTCTTCTGGTGAGTAGTCATGTTTTTTTCTTCCTTCTGGACCCACAATAACGGTTCTCCTGGTGAGTATTCATGTTTTATTCTTCCTTCTGGACCCATGATAACGGCTCTCCTGGTGAGTAGTCATGTTTTATTCTTCCTTCTGGACCCATGATAACGGTTCTTCTGGTGAGTATTCATGTTTTATTCTTCCTTAAAGACCCATGGTAACGGCTCTGCTGGTGAGTAGTCATGTTTTATTCTTGATCTAAGGGTGAATTATCAAGCTGTTTCTGTCTAGCTATTCTATAACGGAGGAATGATCTAAGTCAATATTTGTTTAACTGAAACTCTATATATTTTTATATTATTTCCAGCTATAGTTTCTACACTTGTATATATATATGTGTGTGTGTGTAAAGAGATCGGGTGAATTTTTTCTTTCTAGATTAACACTGTCTTCTTAGTCAACATAGTACGTATCCTGGTTACGAAACTACGAATGAGCGTCTCCATAGAGACTACACAAGTCAGGTAAGCCCGTTGCTGGTTCAAATCTTCTCTTGACATAATAACGTCTTTCTGAAACGGATATAATACTAAGCTGGCCGTATAGCGTGCTGGAGTTAAGCCTCATTAGTGCTAGAGCTTACTTAACGTACTGACAACAATCCTTACTAGTGGTAGTTTACTTAACGTACCGACAACAATCCTTACTAGTGGTAGAGTTAATTAAACGTACAGGCAACAATCCTTACTAGTGGTAGAGTTTACTTAACGTACAGGCAACAATTCTTACTAGTGGTAGAGTTTACTTAACGTACTGACAACAATCCTTACTAGTGGTAGAGTTCATTAAACGTACCGACAACAATCCTTACTAGTGGTAGAGTTTACTTAAAATACTGGCAACAATACTTACTAGTGGTAGAGTTTACTTAACGTACCGACAACAATCCTTACTAGTGGTAGAGTTCATTAAACGTACAGGCAACAATACTTACTAGTGGTAGAGTTCATTAAACGTACCGACAACAATCCTTACTAGTGGTAGAGTTCATTAAACGTACAGGCAATAATACTTACTAGTGGTAGAGTTTACTTAACGTACCGACAACAATACGTACTAGTGGTAGAGTTTACTTAACGTACCGACAACAATACGTACTAGTGGTAGAGTTCATTAAACGTACAGGCAACAATACTTACTAGTGGTAGAGTTTACTTAACGTACCGACAACAATACGTACTAGTGGTAGAGTTTACTTAAAATACTGGCAACAATACTTACTAGTGCTAATATTTGCTTAAAATACTAGCAACAATACTTACTAGTGTTAGAATTTACTTAAAATACTGGCAACAATACTTACTAGTGTTCGAATTTACTTAACATACTGGCAACAATACTTACTAGTGCTAAAATTTACTTAACATAGTGGCAACAATACTTACTAGTGCTAGAATTTACTTAACATACTGGCAACAATACTTACTAGTGCTAAAATTTACTTAACATGCTAGCAACAATACTTACTAGTGCTAAAATTTACTTAACATACTGGCAACAAGCTTCATTATGTTAAAAATATACTTAACGTACCGGCATCAAGCCGTTATTATTGGTAAAATTTACTTAGCATCAATTGTCGCTAGCGTTACAAATGTATTTAATGTCGGTGATAAACCTCGTTAATGGTACAAACTTAACCTTGTTATTCGGTAGTTAGTATGTGACTGTATTTATACATCGACACTAGCAGCTGTATCTCGATAATTCCATATTGAGTTGTTTTAACATCTATACAAGAAAAATCTATAAAATTCGTTTTAAACAAAAAATGGAATTATATTTCATTCACCAATAACATAGAATAGCAAGAACAATATGAGTTTATGTAACTCGGGAGTTTTATTGTTTTATAAAGTCCAATACTAAGTACAATACGAGTTTATGTAACTCAGGAATTTTATTGTTTTATAAAGTAAGTCCAATACTAAGTACAATATGAGTCTATGTAACTCGGGAATTTTATTGTTTTATAAAGTAAGTCCAATACTAAGTACAATACGAGTTTATGTAACTCAGGAATTTTAATTGTTTTATAAAGTAAGTCCAATACTAAGTACAATACGAGTTTATGTAACTCAGGAATTTTATTGTTCTATAAAGTAATTCCAATACTAAGTACAATACGAGTTTATGTAACTCGGGAATTTTATTGTTTTATAAAGTAAGTCCAATATGAGTTTATGTAACTCGGGAATTTTATTGTTTTATAAAGTAAGTCCAATACTAAGTACAATACGAGTTTATGTAACTCGGGAATTTTATTGTTTTATAAAGTAAGTCCAATACTAAGTAAAATATGAGTTTATGTAACTATTGGACTTACTTTATAAAACAATAAAATTCCCGACTCATATTGTACTTAGTTTATGTAATTCGGGAATTTTATTGTTTTATAAAGTAAGTCCAATACTAAGTACAATACGAGTTTATGTAATTCGGGAATTTTATTGTTTTATAAAGTAAGTCCAATACTAAGTACAATACGAGTTTATGTAACTCAGGAATTTTATTGTTTTATAAAGTAAGTCCAATACTAAGTACAATATAAGTTTATGTAACTCAGGAATTTCATTGTTTTATAAAGTAAGTCCAAAGAAATTAAAGTTTTCCAATGACATCGGAGCAATTTGTTTTTGTTTTCCAGGAAAGCCATTAAGGCCACTGCCCTTCTTTTCCCATTACTTGGTATCACCCACCTCCTCTTCTGCATCAATCCTCGTGACGATGCTCACCTAGAGAGGGCGTACATGATCACTAACGCCGTGCTCCAGTCTTCACAAGTAAGTATACTGCGTACGGATTTCACTGGCTAAGATGTATCTATTCCTCTCATCTTGAGTAGTTGGTTGTATGTGATTAGAATATTCTTTGGAGATACTCATATGACCGGCCAATAGTAGTACTAGAACTAGAGACACCCATATGACCGGCCAATAGTAGTAGTAGAACTAGACACATCCATATGACCTGGCCAATAGTAGTAGTAGAACTAAAGACACCCATATGACCTGGCCAATAGTAGTAGTAGAACTAGACACACCCATATGACCGGCCAATAGTAGTAGTAGAACTAGAGACACCCATATGACCTGGCCCTTGTAAAACTAGACACACCCATATGACCGGCCCATAGTAGTAGTAGAACTAGAGACACTCATATGACCTGGCCAATAATAGTAGTAGAACTAGAGACACCCATATGACCTGGCCAATAGTGGTAGTAGAACTAGAGACACTCATATGACCTGGCCAATAATAGTAGTAGAACTAGAGACACCCATATGACTTGGCCAATAGTAGTAGTAGAACTAGAGACACCCATATGACCGGCCAATAGTAGTAGTAGAACTAGAGACACCCATATGACCTGCCCATAGTAGAACTAGACACACCCATATGACCGGCCAATAGTAAAACTAGACACACCCATATGACCGGCCCATAGTAAAATTAGACACACCTATATGACTGGCCCATAATAAACAGTTTGCACATAAATTAGCACTTCCACTTCCTGTCCACTCCAGTGACGTCATTGTAGCAAAAAATTATTCCGTTCGTAAAAATACAGACTTATGAAACATTCATGATAAAAACCTGTCTATCATGGCTGGGTAAAAATACTGGCTTATGAAACATTCATGATAATAGAACCTGTCTATCATGGCTGGATAAAAATACTGACTTATGAAACATTCATGATAATAGAACCTGTCTATCATGACTGGATAAAAATACTGACTTATGAAACATTCATGATAATAGAACCTGTCTATCATGACTGGATAAAAATACTGACTTATGAAACATTCAATGACAATAGAACCTGTCTATCATGGCTGGATAAAAATACTGGCTTATGAAACATTCATGATAATAGAACCTGTCTATCATGGCTGGGTAAAAATACTGGCTTATGAAACATTCATGATAAAACAACCTGTCTATCATGGCTGTGTAAAAATACTGGCTTATGAAACATTCATGACAATAGAACCTGTCTATCATGAAAGACAAATACATTCATGAATATTATCTTATAGTAATTTTTATAAAAATAAAATTGTGAAGTCCAAGATTTTGTTTTTTAAACAGGTCAAATATTTTAAGTAAACTTTATTATTACATTTTCATTTTATATTGTTATAAAAATGAATAAAAACAGTATTTGTCCGATATTTTTAAACTCGTTAGCTAACGTATTGTTTTTAACGTATTGGTTAAGCAGTTTTTAAAATAAGCCTTATCATAACATGGTTAGTTAAGTAACAACAACGTAGTTGATATATGTGAAAACTACTACAACTTGTAACATTCATATAACTAATGTAGTAACATTTGCGAACCCCCCAGTGGCACAGCGGTATGTCTGCGGAATTACGATGCTAGAATCTGGGTTTCGATACCCGTGGTGGGCAGAGTACAGATAGCCCATTGTGTAGGTTTGTGCTTAATTACAAACAAACAATATATTTGGGGTTATCTTCTATAAAGACGTCGTATAAATAATAAAAACATACCTATTTCCAAGATTTAGTGAAAAGTTGTGTTGGAGGGCTTCGCCGACAGGATTTCGGATTTTTTTGCCAGCCGTTGGTTTCTTTCTTGTGTTGTTATTTTATCTTTTAAACATATACTTCCCAGATTGTTGTCGGCTGTCGGTAAAACTGTCCTCTGACGTCTCGTGAGTTACAATCCATCAAACAGAAGACACTCTGAAGCCTGGGTGTTGACAAGCACTTAGCGTGAGATTTGAAAGGCCTTGTGTTTTTCTTGTAACGATTCCCTGTTGTGCTACTGTACTGGCAATTTGATCCTTAGTTGTTGTTTTTTCAGCTTATTCTTTCTGTGGCAGAAAATGTCTGAGCGAATCATTAGTTTCAATCAGACTGGACTCAATCCGATTTTACGTCAATGCTGAACTTGTCAGTCAATCAAGAATTACATTTTTTGTTTTCTCTGAAAATCATAGCAAATGCTGAGCATAAAAATACCGAAGTTTTTTGTATGTTTTTGATAAATAATATAGATTTTATAATTATTGTGTAACGAACGTATTATCAATTATAGCAAGAAAATGTTTCTTCAAATGAAAGTTCGGAACAATGCATTTTAAGAAAATTCTGTTACTTATTCTAAATTCAAGTTTTACTTGTTTCACTGTCGCCATCTGTAGGTAAAATAAATTATGATAAAGAAGTTTTGGATTTTCAATCTAAAAATGTGTAGTAAACTTTCATAATAGGGATATGACAAATATTAGTTTTGGTCGAATACCAGATTTTGGATATCCAGCTACTGATATCCGATATTTTTGGATTGGATAATAGATGTGGTCATATATATATTTCAATAGCGCTGTAAGCGTGAGCTACCAGTTCCTTATAGTATTAGTGAGAATATATAGTTCCAAATTAGAGGCTCTTTAAGGTAATGCGGCACATGGCGGAGTGAACGATCACTACGCTGAGACTGAAGTTTGTATTGTGCTTGCCGTTTCTGTTGCTACCGCTTCCTCACGTGACCACCTGTGGCGTACAATAATGGCAACACTATGGGTAGACGTGATGTTAATTTAAATTAAGTAATGACTATTTGTATTGCGAATATCAAGTAGTATCAAGACTTCGTGAGATGATTAACTGATGGAAATGCTTCCTGATTATCTAATTCATCAGATCAGATGTTTGTCCCATCCCTATTTCGTAACATAACAGTTATAGTTTTCAATGTTAAATGAATTTATCTCTTTAATCTGTTTAAATATATTTACTATATTGTTTAAAACAAGGTACCTTCTTCAGCTGTAACATTACTATATTGTTTAAAACAAGGTACCTTCTTCAGCTGTAACATTACTATATTGTTTAAAACAAGGTACCTTCTTCAGCTGTAACATTACTATATTGTTTAAAACAAGGTATCTTCAGCTGTAACACTGTTTCTTCTAGTACTACTTGTGGTCAGTATTTCAATAATTTATATTTAATAAATGAAAGTAAAATAATAGTAGGTTTCACCTTCTATTCCAGGGTATATTTGTGGCAGTACTCTATTGCTTCATGAACTCTGAGGTGAGCAAACTTTCATTTTCAAAATAAACTTTTGTAAAAAAAAATATATATCGTTTAATATTGCCTACTTCAACTCACGGAGAGCCGGTTGGTGGCGCTAATTCTACTTTATATTCACGTAGTAAAATGTAGTTTAAAAATGCCTTATTACAAATGTACAGTAAAAATAATAGATATAATTCCGTTTAATCTGTAGAACGTAAGTTGGTCATTAGTCTTAGCTAAGGTCTTAATGTAATTTGAAAGGGGACAACAACGTCACGTTAGCACGATAAGAAACACTTCATTTTCTTCCCGCCTTTTTTATTTGCGCGATCGTTCACGTGAGTTGGAACCATCTTGTTAGCCAACTAAATTTTCCCTGTCATAAGAACATTTTTTCCCTTATTTTTTTTTATTATAATCCGCTTACAATTTCTGTTAAAGAACTTACATATGTGGAGGGGGGGGGGGGACAAATGATATTTTTAGAAAGCAGATTGCCATGCACGTGGCATGATATGGATCGGGGCCCCAGTGGCTCAGAGGTAAGTCTGTGCGCATATAACGGTAAAAATTGGGTTTCAATATCCGTGGTGAGCACAGCACAGATAACCCATTGTGTAGCTTTGTGCTTAACTTCAAAGCAAACAAACAAATAAGCCGTTGAATAACGACGTAATTTTATCGCTGGATATCAACGAACGTTGGACTGGATCAAACAACCTACTCTTTAGAGCGTAATAACTCCAAAATGAGGTTTAAGGTTTATAAATATTATCGTATAACCCACCCCCACAACCACCACCCAAAGAACAACAACTAAATACAACATAACTGTTATAGTAAGAGTACTATTATCCAAAGACTTTCTGATGTTACCTTAAATATAAGATGTTCCTCTCTTAATGAACCGTATGATAATCTTATTATGTTCAAAGTAAGATGGTCCTCTCTTGATGAACCGTATGATCATCTTATTATGTTCAAAGTAAGATGTTCCTCTCTTAATGAACCGTATGATCATCTTATTATGTTCAAAGTAAGATGTTCCTCTCTTAATGAACCGTGTCATCATCTTATTATGTACAAAGTGAGATGTTCCTCTCTTAATGAACCGTATGATCATCTTATTATGTTCAAAGTAAGATGTTCCTCTCTTAATGAACCGTATGATCATCTTATTATGTTCAAAGTGAGATGTTCCTCTCTTAATGAACCGTATTATCATCTTATTATGTACAAAGTAAGATGTTCCTCTCTTGATGAACCGTATGATCATCTTATTATGTTCAAAGTAAGATGTACCTCTCTTGATGAACCGTATGATCATCTTATTATGTTCAAAGTAAGATGTACCTCTCTCAATGAACCGTATGATCATCTTATTGTGTTCAAAGTAAGATGTTCCTCTCTCAATGAACCGTATTATCATCTTATTATGTACAAAGTAAGATGTTCCTCTCTCAATGAACCGTATTATCATCTTATTATGTACAAAGTAAGATGTTCCTCTCTTGATGAACCGTATGATCATCTTATTATGTTACAAAGTAGATGTTCCTCTCTTAATGAACCGTATGATCATCTTATTATGTACAAAGTGAGATGTTCCTCATATAATGAACCGTATGATCATCTTATTATGTACAAAGTGAGATGTTCCTCTCTTAATGAACCGTATGATCATCTTATTATGTACAAAGTGAGATGTTCCTCTCTTAATGAATCGTATGAT